TGTCCAAGGTCATTCATTATTAATACTATTAGTAATATCTTCGTTAAAGACTTTGATGGCCACAGCTCAAACATGAGAGATTGAGCTTTATTAGCTCCACCTTGCTGAAATTCCGGATACTATTATTTTGCTTGTCGTATTATAGGAGAATTTACGGTAACTAGCGGTATTTACCGGTAACTTGCGGTATTTACCGGTAACTTGCGGTAGACTGCGTACAGAGTACCAGAAAATAATGCGGTATCGCCCGCGCATTTTGAATGGCTGCATCTGTAGTACACTACAGTGGAATTTACAATGAAGATTAGGAAAACCTTGTTTAGAAAGTTTCTGTTTTCACCTTTGAATATGAAATACAACTACAGGTATGAAATAAAAGCAGTGTAAAGAAAATTATGCATCAGTCTGTGAGTTAATTATCTGTGATGTTTATGAACTTTCAGCTTCTACACCTACATATGGAAAAATAGAAATAATATTTTGAATTTTTTTTTCTTTTTTACCAGCCAATAAAAGATGTCATCTTTACTGTCAGTCAAAAGAAACGGGGGACCTGGCTTATATGAAACAACTAGTTCATGATGGAACACGATGTTCTTATAAAGACCCATATAGCATCTGTGTACGCGGTGAATGTGTGGTAAGTAAAAGAGAATGTTCATTTTTACACAAAATAATTTGGGGTTGTAATAGAAACAATAATATTAACATTTTTAGTGTCACACTACAAGAATTATACAGATGCAGTTCTACACCATCTTAAATAACAATGACACTTTATCATATTTGATAGTGCCACTGAAGCTAGCAGGTCTCATAAGTATAAAGAGGTAAGTTGATTACTGTCTCTTTGAAACACCTTAATAAGCTCCCAAACTGCTGGTTGCTTTTGTGTGTAACATTTTCCAAAGCACAGTTTTATGACATACTGTATATCATCATATGGAGCCATAACCTATCAACAAATAAATGGCACATCAACACAAACAGAAAAGAATGTGAAAATGTTTATATGGAAAAACTGACAGATAACAATAGCAAAAATATTGAGAAATGAATTATTTACTCATATGAATTGACAAAAGATAGTGTTTTAAATAAAATACTTACAGTATGTAGGATGATATTGTGATACTACTTAGAGCCATAGCGAGAAAAAACACATATTTTTGCATCTATTTCTATACAATTAATTCTGTGTACCTTGTTGACTGAGATAAAATTATTTAAAGTCTTCTAATCACAAGTTAAAAAAGGGATTGGTACATAACTTGTACTGTATGTATAATTACAATGTTGTTCTACACAGAACTGAACTTTTACAAGATTGCTTACTTTCCACCATTATTATATTAACTGGAATACAAGAAGGTCAAATTATAAAAATAAATGGCATATTCCACACCTGATGCATGTGGAACTTGTGTACATTGCATTTTTGGACACTGCAAAATTGAGTTAATTATAATTAAAGAGGTCATGATGGTGTAGTGGTTAGCATTGCTGCCGCACCGTGCTGGCTCTGGGTTCTATTCTGGACTTGGGGTGCTATCTGTGTGGAGCTTGTATGTTTTTGTGAGTTTCCAGTGGGTTCCTGTTCACGATGTAACCTTCTTTGTGCCCATTGCTTGCTGGGATAGGCTCTGGCTCCCCTGCAGCCAGTATTGATTAATTCAACTCATTCATGCATTTTCTAATTGCTGTAAAGACTTGTATAAGATAATTCTGGTAGTCAATATGCTTCCACATTATGTGTGTTTTAATTAACTAAGGATGTCAATTTCTTAAATTGTGCATACCAAATGTGATGCAGTTCTCATGTGCACTGTATGTGCAAATGCCAGAAAAACACCAGAAGTAATTAAAAAGTCACTATATTGATTATTAACTGGATTCTATTCAGTGTATCACCTCATTTATCAGAATCTACATTTTTTCGTTTTGTGATATTTTCTGAAAACAAAAAACACTTTACTTTTCTCTTGGCAGGAAATGTTTTTTTCCAATTATACAGCTGTATACAATTGGAATTAAGCAGCCCTCTGTGTAACAACTTGAACAAATGCTCTATTTGTAGCTAAAATTAACAGAATATTGACGAAATAGAACTTGAGCTTGCTCAATACCTAATTAACTACAGAAAAGCTATGTTTATAAATCTATAAAAGTAGCATCTACTGTATAAAGATATCCGTTTGAATCTTTAAGACCGGATAATTCAGTAAGATTTAAAGTTAAAGATTCAAAGTGAATTTATTTTCTATTATGTATTTTTTGGGGTACAAAAGTCGTTCTTTTGTTAAATATGTTAAAAAATAAATGTAAAGGGTGAAAGATTAAGTAAAGAAAAAGATCTTTCAGCCTTATTTTGGCTTTCAGACACAATTTAAATATATCTCTCGACATTTAAGCTTCAGATGCTATCACTAAATTTCAGTTCTTTTCATTTAATGCTATGCTTTTAGACAAAGTAATTGACAAATAAACAATTAACAAACATCAGGATTGATTTGATATATTTGAAACATTAAACACTGATGTAGTGTTTTTCTACTGCTGCTTTATTGGTTTTTAGAAAGTGGGTTGTGACAGAGAAATTGGGTCCAACAAAATGGATGATAAGTGTGGTGTGTGCGGAGGAGATAATTCTCACTGCAGAACTGTCAAGGGAACAATCACCCGCACTCCAAAAAAAGCAGGTAGGATTCTTTTAAGAACAAACCTTTCTTGGACTGCACAAAAACATGGTGACAAACATGGTGTACTGTACAGTATATACCAAGCATTTGATTCACATTTGTTCTTAGTTTTATAGGAACTTTCATGTTATTTTTACCTGTGTCCTTTATTTGATGTTTATTGTTTATACCAAATAAGTCCACTGAGATGGGATTTAATGCCTTTGAGGATAATGAATACTTGTAACTGATCCCCTTATAGACCTATCTGTGTAAGACTATAAAGGTTCAGTTCTTCCAGCTTGTCAGAGGAAGACATTCATTTATGCTCCACTTGCTGTTCTCTGGATAATTTCCAGAGCAGCAGTATCTTTTCAGAATTGTATACAATATTCTAAATGAGACCTTACAAACGAATTGCAACTTTATATCCCTTGAATTCAATTCTACACTTTTGAATCCATATCCTAACATTGTTTGCCTTTTTTATTGCTTCCCCACATTGTCTTTAGGTAAAGAAGGTGTCAACACTAATACCTAAATCTTTTTCCTAAGTAGCATCTTCTAGCTCAGCCTCTCCAGTTTTATATTTCTACCTTCTTTAAATTACCTTTTGGTAAATTCCTGCTCATATCTGCTTTAAGTGTTTTCTGACCAGTGTTTGCCCAGTCTTAAACTTTATCTTAATCTTTTTGAATTTCATCTGCTGCTTTTTTTGTTTGCTAATTTAATAATAAGAATTATTTGTTGGTTTCATCTACAAGCTTGACTGCTTTACTAACTATAAAAGACTATAGACCATCAATCTACATTAAGAAGAGCAGTGGACCTAGTACAGATCCTTTTGGCAAACTAAATCTAAAGGCTCTTGTAATGTGCTGTGTTTGCAATGTAAAAGAGATGAAAGGCATAATGTGTGAATAGGGTTAGAGGAGCTCTTTTACCTACCCTCAGTTTTTTCTTGCATTACTTGGGTTGTTGCTGTGATCTGAGGGTATAATAGTCAAAATACAAATAAGTGAACAGGATAGCTTAATCTTTCAAAAAACACCTGTCATGAATTTAATGAAAACTTGATTTCAGATGTAAGAGTAAATTTGAGTTTCTTTCTCACAATGATATATTGATGTACTATACTGTATATACATACATTGCTTTGAAAGGAGGTCACTGACAAGAACTATTTCTTTTAAGGAGGCAGATTTAGAATGGTACTGAATGGCACACGCCTAAATGTGTGTGTATTGCAGACTGAAAACATTTTTATTGTCAAAATGTATTGTTAAGTAAAATTCAGCATCTGGTATCATTAGTTTAGTGTTCCAATAATCATTTGTAATAGATTAATGGAACATTGCTTAGCTCAGTAATTTATGTTATCTTCACACAATAAGTCTTATGATCTGTATTTGGATTTAAAATGTAATGGGTCTCCACATTTTATGATCAGTAATATCTGTTTTATTTGCTCAAAACTGACATTGGTTCTAAATCTGCACTTACTGGGACAAGGTAAAGAAAATATAAAATATAGGATTAAGGGCAAGAAATTCTAAATCTTATCTAAACAGACAGTATCTAAAAGTTATAGAATTTTTCCTTTTTAGAGATTTTTTGACCACCAATATCTTAGTATCAAAATGGTTTGAGATCTACATTTGAGCCTCTTTTTAAAATGATTGGGTTTGCAGTTTTAGCATTAAAAAAATTCAGTTCAGCAGCTGATGTGAAGTATGATCTATTCTACTTTAAAAAACCTTGGTCTAGTGATGCGAGGTCAAGTGGCAGGAGGTTAGAATGTGCTTATTAAGGTCCTGCTGCTGTCACAGCTTACTGTGGGTGACATTGCTAACTCCCTGCCTAGCCACCCTTGACTCTTAAGACATTGAAGTCATGACTCATGAAATCTTTCTGACACCAGCTTGTCTGAGTGGGTGTCTGAAGGCAACTCAACAATGCAGGTGATCATCAGAGGAGCAGTGTCCTATTAGCCATTGAACCTCAGTTTTATCTGAGCTGATGTGCTTATTAACAGGTGCTGATTTCAGTGCAAAAGTCAGTATTACATTTTAACGTTTATTCACTAAACAGAGAGCCTGGCTGCAGAAGAGGCTAAAAACTGTTATTTCTTTTTAACAATGTTTGTAACTTAACAATAACACAGGCAGCATGCAGAACAACAAATGTTCCTTCGGAAGAATATGTTCTGGTTGTTGCTTTTCAAACTATTACATATTATGAAGGTAAAAAGATGGAGGAATGCTTCATAGTTTTTCTATCCTTTTTTTAAATTTAAAATTCAACTTTTTTGACAGGAAAACAATTAAGCAAGAGATGCCATAAAGAAAACCATTTGTTGGAAAACAAAACCTGCAAGTATCTAATATTAACTGCTCTTAATTTCTCCCCCCTTAATGTCTTCTATTTCATTGACTGCTTTATCAGTTACTGTAGTATGTTACTTAATCCTTAACATAGAATGGTATTTATGGTATTACAGTTTTAAATCATGAGGGATGGATTTCCCAGCCATTTTCCTTAAAATGATTACTTTCATCCATGGTTTGCTCTTCAAATTTAATTACATACTGACGAAGGAGCAAAATTAAGCTATTGAAAGTAATTTGTTGTATATTTTGAGGGCAAATGCTTGATTAAATTGCAAATGCCTTATCAATGATTATTAGGAGGTCAATATTCAATAATCTCATCCAGTACAGTTTGAATACAAACAATGACATCAGAGGTATAAGATGGCAATTGGGTTCTGTATATTGTGTTCTGCAATTGTGCAGTGTATAGCTGAATTTTTTTCTATAAAGAAGAGATGTCTGTTATTATATCTGAATACAAATAATTTTCCCAGCTCTGGGCCTCACTGTTAACATTACAATGAAGCACCTATTTGACTTTATTGACCCTTTGAACCCTTTGAATTTTGAACTATTCAGTCAAATCTTCCCACCAGACCCCACGAGATTGCATACAGTATGTCTCTATATAGCCAAACTACTGGAGAGGAAATAGGGGAAGCAATAGTATTAACTTAATGTTAAATTATTTGTTAACATTAATATGCCATTTTTAACAGTAATATACAGATGTTTATACAGTATTATTCTTCATTTTAATAGAAAGATTAAACAGTGAAACTGCCAACAGTAGTCAATGAAAAAGGAGTCATAATCCAAACTAACTCATCAATTTCATTTAAAGGGAAAACAAGAGGAGCATTCTTAATACCTAAAGGAGCTAGAAATGTGTTGCTGAATGAAACAGAGGATTCTAGAAATATTCTTGGTGAGTCACAAAAGATTGCAGAAAACTGGACATCAATGAAGTAGAAAAGAAGGCTATTTTGCAGTATTTCTGCTTCTAACTTATCACTGTTCTACAAATGGCAAAAGGTTTTTCCATTTTTAATGCTATTTAATGCATTTATAACCAACCAGTTTGAAATAATTGTAGCAGCATAATATCAGCAGACACCTGAAAATGGTGGTCTAAGCAGAATGGCTAAAACTTTTGCCTTGAAATGCAGGGGAATTTTCTTCTTCAGACTTGCATGACATAGCATTTTTTAGATATAAAGTAGTGCAAATGCCTTCTACATAGAATGATGTCCAGTTCTGCATGAAAAATTCTCTTCATTGCTCAACTAACTGCTTCTATTATCTTTTTTTTAAATCTGTGCTTTCATCACTGATCAAAATACTTACAAAGGTTACCTTAAGATGTTTGACATCCAAGCTGGTGCTAGACATGTGATCATTCAAGAACATGAGGGTTCTCCTCACATTCTTGGTAAGTGACATTTAATGCCAGATTGAAATCGTGGAGAGATATTTACAAATATTTGCAACTGAGTAGTTCCTCAATAAAGTAAGAAACAAAATAGGTTCAATATCAAATATTATCCTGTATAACACTGTGATTTAGTTTGGTTGTGGTAATGGAAGGAGGTATGATTTTGAGAAAAAAAAACAGTGTAGATGTCAATAATCAATATTTGTTTTACAAAAGGCACTTCACCAAGGCTGTGCCAGAAGGCCTTTACATTCAAAGCTAAGCTCAAACACATCAATAAAACAGAAGTATTCATCAGAGAGAATATTGCCAAAGAAGATGGAATTTCTGGTGGCCTTTCAGAGTTTCTTACTAAAATACTTAAGAAAGTTTCATAATTATGAGAGATAAAACTAGTGAAAGATGAGGAACTTGGTCTTGATGAGTGAAAATCACCACATGATGATAAATCTTTGCTCGTTCACCCCATCTGAATGTTTTAATTACAATCATCATTACAGAATACAAGTACCAGCACTCATACCTGCATTACAATACTTTTAATATGCTGGAAATGGATAATAGTGGTTGTATTTATTTATGTGGCATTGGTTGGAAAAAAGTAAAATAACATACTTTGAAACTGAAACAATATGCCACAGTAAGTATAAACAGTTTCCCAGTAACTGCTAAAGAAACAGACCTTAATTGCACATCCAGATCAACAGAACACCAATTAAAGTGCTCCTCACAGCTTCTGCTACTTCCTTCATTGCAAAGATTAATTGGTGTAGGATGCTTTATCTTAAAGTGATCCAGACTAAAAATACCTAGAAAGCTATTGTTTAGAATAAGGAAAAAGATCGATCAAACTAAAAACACAATGCCCACTTGAAATAATACTTATTTTGCAGCAATTTAACTTTTTAAGATAATTGCTGTTATTTTTGGCACTACTTTACATCTAGATTGTAAGCATTGATGTTTCCCATTCCACTTTATTTTTTGTAGACATCCACATAGTCTTTTTTATTTTTAATGTGCAGATATATATTAAAATGGAAATATATTCAAATAACAGTATAAAATTGTTATTTTTCCATACCATGAAACATAATTCATTCTGTCCCACCTGCATTTATTATACATGCTAAATGTAGATATTTTAAAATGTTTCTGACAGGCAATGCAATGAATCACCAATCATGAATCATGCAATGAAGTTAAGAACATTTTCTTTGAGAAACATGTGTCATTGAACTACTGCTACTTTGCTGTTAGGGGAACACAGTAATTTCACACTAGTCTTAAGTATTAGATTACTAGTCAAAAGTAATTGATCAGGACAGAAGTTTCTTAAAAACATACTAAATTATACATTGTGATTCTATTATGTTTCAGTGTAGTAGAACTACACTTGTAGTAGAAATACATACAGTAATTGCATAATTTGTATATAACATGCATAGTCATAATACATTATATTAGAAGTCAAAAGGGATCAATTTATTCCAAGAGCAACGTCTTAGCTACAGCTGAAATTCAACAATAGATATTCAAATTTTACTTGATAGGCATTCAAGTTGTTACTTTGGCTTACTTTACAGGTACAGTATGCATCATTTGTGGCAAGTTTTGACTACGTTTTCATTAAGAAACTACAAATTTCCATTGCTTACAGTGGAAAATGTATGATGTATTATGATAGTGAAATTAGATGTATTTAATAATTTCTTTCTTTCAATTTCTTAGTACAAAAAATAAGATTTTTGCATTCTTAAATGAAAGACAATAAATGACTGCCCTTTGTATGAAAAAAGCTGTTGTCAAATTAGTTGAACTGCATTTTAACCTTCTAGATAAGATGTCTCTTTGCACTTTTCTTCACTGCACCTTTCTTGGAGCTTTGTAGATTAAAAAAAACACATCTATTATTGTGCGCCTATAGAAACTAGTTACTATTCTTTCTTAAATACTTTTACTTGTGTTTGGCATCGTGTAATATAAGATATGTATTACAATAGTATATGATGTTCATTGATGTATGAGTGTAAGGTAATTTTTATTAAATTAAGTGATATATATATATTTCACTATTTTTGCTCCTATTTTCAACTCCTAATTTGATTTAAAGGTATGTTTTTGTTTTAAATTATGTGAGGATCTAGGAATATATAGCAAATTATGGAAAGCACATGATACTATTTACAATAAATGTTAATCATTAAATCCTTTACAGTAGTATAGTGATTTTATATATTTAATATAATTTTAATATATTTAAATAAAATTGAATTTAGAATTAAATGAACAGCACACAATATATGATACTGAAAAAAATATTCAATTCACAATATTGATCCTGCAAGAACAATCTAATTTGAAGCTGGAGATGAAAGTGTGAAATCTCCTCTAAATCAGGACATTTGACACAATGTATAGGTAAACAGTGAAAAAATATATCAAGGATAATCTCTTTTTTGTTGAAAGCGTGCACTTTATCCATAAGAGAGATGTATATCTTTTCAAATGTATGTATGCAGAATAAACAAAGAAACGGCTGATTGACCTAACTACACATCTGCACTAAAAGGGTGTTGTTTAATTAACACCAACAGCCAAAATGAATTTGCTAGAAAGGATTAGCTAGTTTCAGGTTAAATAATTCCTTGAATTAATAAAATATTTTCATGTGAGTGAAATGGGCAAATGAATTTTAGAACCAGCATTACATTACATTTGATTATTTCTATTGACTGTTTCAATATCAGCTTCAGAAATCAGGTTTTTCGGTGGAGTTGGGCTGAAATACAATTCTTATTTCCTTATGAAAATAACCAAAGGCTTGATGTGTACTAATTCTCAATAGGAACTGTATGTCATCTATGGTTATTTTCATCAGAGCAGGAATAAGGGTATAAATCTCAACCAATTCATTTTTTGTACATGTGTTAGTTACATCTTATGACATGTGCTTTACAGGAATCAGTACAATAAATCTTTCACTGATTGACATTGTTAATGATAAGATGAAAGATGTCTTCTAACAAATTATTGATTTCAGCTATCAAGAACCAAGCAACAGGACATTATATTCTAAATGGGAAGGGAGAGGAAACAAAATCAAGGAGCTTTATTGAGCTTGGAGTGGAGTGGGACTACAGCATGGAGGACAACATGGAGACTCTTCAAACAGATGGGCCCCTGCACGACACTGTCATTGTTTTGGTAACTGAAATTTTTAAGCCCTCTCTTATGGTGCTTTGTTACTTGGTGAAGTTGTACACATTATGTTTTAGAATAGTAAACAATTTTCTAAGTGCTTCATCCAATTTGCCATTGCAGGGATGCCGGAGCCTATCTTGGCAAGCAGCGGGCACGAGGTGGAGCACGCCCCGCATGGGCGCCAGTCCATCATAGGGCACACACAGACATGCACACACTCACACCAGGGCCAGGTCTCCCACAAGCCAGCTAACATAACAGTATGTTTTTGGACTGTGGAAGGAAACTGGAACACTAAGAGGAACACAATGCAAACATGGGGAGAACAAATTGCACCCCGGGTACAGTATTGAACCCAGAGCCCCTAATGGACAATTTTAAAAAGAATTTGGAGACTTACAAAGCACCCAATAGCAGATCTCATCTGATAGAGTTTATGAGACTGAATGATGTATATGATGTACTGTATGGGAACAGGAATATATTACAAATGTTATAGTCTTGGATATCTCTATATATTTTACTTTAAACATTTAGTTTTCCTCTTCATTTTTTAATGTAGTGTCTGATAGATTAGACATGAGTTTCTACAATGTTTATTTGCTTATTTCCCTGAAGAATAGATAAGTATGAATAATTTCTACAATTCTATTCAAGGAACAAATACTATAACTAACGAGCACTTCAGGCTGCATTGCTGTTAAGGGAACAGAATTGTTACGATCCCTGCCTCTCGGCAACGGAGGAGGCAGAAGTAGG